AAGTATTATTAGATTTTAATTATAATTATATTTTATAAAAAATCTATTGTGATACACAAATGTTGATATTATTTTCTATAAATTTAATCAAATTTAAGAAAGTTTGACTTTTTCCAAACCTTGAATTACATTTTTTTAGGGGAGGGGGTAGAGGAGTAGGTCGAATTCAGAAGCGGACGGACTTATATTTCTTCGAAAAAACGGTGTCTTGGTTTAGTTATCTCAATTAGGAAACAAGCTCTAGGTTACATCTTCTATCCATTTGAATCTGTACATTTCCGGTAGATGTAAGCCTGGTATTTCCATTATGCAATTGCAATAATAGGGTGGACGTGGACCTCCTTTAGAGAGAGAGAAAAACAAGCAAACATTCCATAAAGAAAAAAGAAAAACAGCCCCGTTCATGGCCTAAGCTGAGGAGACCAGATGCTTCTTTGTTGGGCCGATCGGCTCAGTCCATTCCGTCCAGCGGAGCTGTTCTGGTGGGCTGCGCCAATTCGGGCCCATGGAGCGGAGCCCCGCGCGCACTCGCCGACTTGGAGAAAATCGAAATTTTGCCCTTACGGGGAGCGGGTTTCGCCCAAATTCTATCAATTTCGTGGGCTTCGCTGAAATGCCCTTATGAAACGAGTCCAACACACTATAATGCCATTTTGAGTTTTAAGGCTACTTTAAAACAAATTCAGCTAAAATTTTAGCCTAAACTGACCATTTTGCCTCTGAGCTCATTGACCCCTGCCGTCTCATCTCTCCCCCTCTCGTTCTCTCGCTCCCGTCGCCTCCCCTTCCTCTCTCCCTCTCCCTCTCTCCCGAGGTGGCGCAGCGCGGGCGGCCCCCCTCCCCTCTCCCTCTCCCTCCGTCTCGATCTACCACCGGGCCATGGCGCGGCCAGCGCAGGGCAGGGCAGAGCCATGGCCTTGCAGGCCAGTCGTCCTCATCTTTCTTCCTCTCCCTCTCTCCTGCTGTGGCCGCTCATGGTGCTCGTGTCCGGTGCTGGTGGGTCTCGGCGGTGCCGCGGTTGGCACAGAGCAGTCTCAGGTGTCCCGTTTCCTCTTATATTTTGGACTTTTGCTTTTGCCTCTCTGATTCGTCCCTTCGATGACTTCGATTCGTGTTCTAGGGTTTGGCCTAGAATGCCTGTTGTTCCAATGTTTGCCTTCTCTGTGTTTATCTGTGAAAGGACGGCACCAATTGGCAATGACACTACCAATTCGTGTTCTAGGGATTGTGTCTGTAATTTTATTTTTGTAGCTTTTTTTCTCAGTTTTTCCCTCTCCCGTTCTTGCTTCGATTCTTCATTTTGAGACCGATTTAGTTCGTTCTTTTTTGCTCAGATTCGTGCTATGACATGAGTTGATGCTACCCCTTAAGTGAATTTGATTGAATCGAGTCGAGCACAAAGAAATTGAACAAATTTCGTTTTTGGGGAGTTTTTCGTGTTCTTGGTCGTGATCTAATTTTTCTGGAGTTTGGGTTGAAATTGGGCGATGATCTCTTAGAGTATGCTCACCAACTCCCTTGTGATGGCCTGTGAAAAGTTTGGTCACGATTTGTTTTGATTTGGTCTAGTTTTTCGTCGATTTTGTGGCCGCCGGTTTCCTGTTCTAGATTTTCCAGAGTTTGGGTTAATCCTAAGAGATGATTTGTTGGGGATGAGTTCATAGGTAGTTGAATTTCTCGTAAAATTTGGGAGCGAATCATAGAGTTTTGAGTCGGATTCGTCGATTTTGTTGTCGCCCTTTTTCTGTTCTTGAAGGCATCGGTCTCCTGTTCTTCTGCTTACACACAAGGTCGGACAACAGGGCCAGCGCAGTGCGCCGCTCGTCCTTAGCTAGCAGTCCCGAGCACCTATTGTTCTTCGTTTCTTCCTGCTTGTTCATCGTGGGAGGCGAGCAACAGGAGCCGCGTGCTCCCAGCGCCAGAGCAGCGCTCGGTCCAGGTGGGCACTCGTCCAAGCGCCCAGGTCCAGCGACCGGCCGCTCGCCCAGGTGCTCTGCTCAGCGGTGAGCAGCTCCACCACTCAAGCCCCTCTCTGTCTCCCACCATCTCTCTCTGTGCCCGGCGGCGAGCAGCACCACCGCCCGCACTTCTCTCTCTACTCGATTGCATCTGCTTGCTTTCTCTAGTCACGGACAGGAGTAAAACGGTCACGCCTAGTAAAAAAAAATGGGGTTAGAAATTTACAAGTTAAAAAAAACACGAAATAGCAAAATAGTGCGAAACACATTCGTAGGGGCATTCCTGGTAAGCCCACGAAATTCTAGCGAAGCGTACGGGCAAAATTCCGATTTTCTCGCCGACTTGCGGCGGAGACGTCAAGCGCTGGCGGGAGGCGGCGCCGCGGCGGCGGAGGCGAGGTCTCTGAGGAGTGAGGACCGCGCGGCGGTGTGCGCCCATGCGGCGCGCCTCCCCGTACTCGTATGCCGTCTTCGAGCGCCTCCTCCAGGAGCACTTCCCATTCCCGCGCCGCGTCTTCCAGGTGCACGCGCTCCTCCTCACCTCCGGCGTCCTGCTCCTTGACCTTGACCCCCAATGCTCCTCCGCTGCCTTTCCTTACAACTGCCTCGCGCACGCGCACCTCCGCGTCCCCGCCGTCTCCTCCTCCTCGCGCGCCCCGTCCACCCCGCTGCGCCTCTTCTCCGCCATGCTCGCCCGCGGCGGGCGACCCAACCGCCACACCTTCCCGTCCCTCCTCAAGTCCGCCTCCGCCTCGGGCTCCGCGGCCGCCGCGGGGGTGCTCCACGCGCAGTGCCTCCGCCGCGGCCTCGCGGCCGACCGCTTCGTCGCCTGCTCGCTCGTCAGCGCCTACGGCCGAACGGGCCACCCGGCTCGCGATGCGCGCAAGGTGTTCGACGAGATGGAGGGGACCCCGGACCTGGCCTCCTGCAACGCCCTGCTCGACGCGCTGTGCCACGCCGGGGAACTGGACGCGGCGGGGGACTTCTTTGAGCGGATGGCGGTGAGGGACCCCGTGTCTGGGCTCTCGCGGGGCGGACGCCACCTGTGCGCTCTCGAGGTGTTCAGGGGATTTTTGCTGGGTAGCATGGGGCGACGGCTCCAGGAGGCCACGTTGGTCAGCGTGTTGTCGGCCTGTGCCAACCTTGACGGCGGTGAGGGTCTTGCCGCGGGCTTGTCTGTTCACGCATATCTCATCCGCCATGAGATTGAGCTCACTGCATTCCTGGGCACGGCGCTGGTTGACATGTATGGGAAGCATGGGAGGCTTGGCTGCTGTAGTAGTGCTTTTGAGGTCGTTTGTAAGGAGGTTTGCACGTGGAATGCGCTGTTGTCAGCTTTGGCTAATCATGGGAAGGAGACTGAAGCACTGGTGAAGTTCGACGTGATGAGGGGTGAAGGCTTCTTGCCAAATCAGATAACCTTTCTTGCTCTGCTCACGGCTTGTGCTCGTGCAGGATTGGTGGAGGTTGGGTTATACTGGTTCGAGGCAATGGTTGCTGAATACAAGGTGGCACCGTTGATGGTCCATTATGGATGTGTTGTGGACCTCTTAGGCCGTGCTGGCCGTTTTGGAGAAGCCATTCAGGTTATAGAAAGGATGCCCTTCGCGGCTGATGCTTCTGTGTGGGGTGCTCTTCTTGGGGCTTGCAAGCTCCATGGAAATGTGGAGCTTGCAGTGGAGATTGGGCAGAAACTAATGTCTCTTGGCCCCCAGCAATTTGGTCGGTATATGACTATTAGGAATGTCTATTTAGAAGATGGGAATTGGCATGCTGGCGCAAGAATGGGAGAGGTGATGCATGAGGCTGGAATCAAGAAGGCAGTTGGGCAGAGCAGCGTTGTGCTTGGTACTGCCATTCCTTAATTAGCTTTCATTGCAAAACTTGTTGGTTGGGGACAGATACACTTCAATGATTATTAACAGATGTTTCTTCACATTTGTCCTGTCCCCCATGGGTATAACTTTGAGGAGATGTAAGTACCAAATATTCACTGCTTGGGTTGCCCTTATTCATGCATTTATGCCCTTAACCAATAGCCAATATAAACCATAATTCTACCACGAAAAGGTTGTGTAAGTTTTTTTATCGTAGATGTTGCAAAACTTAAATGTAGTGACTTCACATGACGCTACTAACAAGTAGTACAGTGTTCTTGCTGCAGTAGAGAAGCGGCACCAAGATGTTGGGTTGATCACAGTGGTAATGCTAACGCAATTGGGTGGCGGCATTCAGTTGCCACTTAGCTAAGGATTGGATTTCCGCTTAGCTCAGGAATGGATCACAGTGGAGGAAGGAATCAAACCACACGAAGAAGAGACACAGATGTGATGTGAGTTGCCTAGGAGCTCCAACTCCAAGCATTATGACTCTAGGAGTCCAAGTGGACCAAGGAGCTTTAGGAATCACACCCATCAGGCTTCTAGTCAGGTAAATTTTGTTCCATCTATCCAGTTAAATAGCTCCTTCTGTGGTATATGAAGGCACTTTTACTATTTAGAACAGAATCCCTACTCCAAATTGCTAGGGACTAACAGGCTCTGATGTTATAGAATAATAGAATTGGAAGAAACAACTTCACTTTGACTGTCCATCTGAAAATGTTGAGTTGGCAAGGTTTTTAAGAGCAGGAGTTCCACTTAGTCTGGAAGAGGCATTTAAGGACACACTTTTCCAAACTATAAAGAAACTGACGAATGTTTATTACTTAGTACTTTTAGTTGAGTTGACCCAAGGGGCAAAAAAATCTCTTTCCTGCACATGTACCTCCCTTGATGTTTCTATAAAACTAGAGCTGGATATTCATGTAAAAATTGCATACATGTAGATATCATACATGCATAAAACAGCATATGCAGTTGCAGGCTTGGAATGATATCTCAGACATAACAGTTCAGAAGGAAGAATTTTGTAAATGTTGCATCATATCCTACATAGCATATTGTGGCAACAGCTTAATAAATATGTACTATTTATTACATCAACAAGTACCACATGCAATTATCCAGTCTAGAAGCACCGTTAAGTATCGTGTTACAGGATCTATGCCAAGAACAGTGTTGATGTCTCTATGCTGTTGTATGCCATATCATCCAAAGGGGCAGCCAATGATGATGATCCTCCATGGTGTGCATAGTAACTGTCTTCACAGTCACTGGTTGCATCCATGTGGAGCCTCCTCAACATCTGTAGGCGCTCTGCAACTTCCTTCATTGTTGGCCTGTCATCTCCACTTGGGCATAAGCAATGCACTGCTAGTTGGGCCAGCTTTTCAAGCACTGCCATAACTTCCTCGTCAATAATTTCAGAGTCCAGCATTGCTTTGTGCTTATTATGGCGGAACATCAAGAGAAAGATATAAGACAATGATTTTTTTTCATTGAACCTATCAGCAAACATAGCCCTTTTCCTTGTGATCAGCTCCAGAAGAACTACTCGAAACTGTAGACATCGCTTTTCTCAGTCAGTTGATGACTGATAAAGCTCTCAGGGTCAAGATAGCCAAATGTTCCTTGTACAAACATGATGAACTCACTTTCGTCCATGGACTTTTGTGCTGATGTCGAAATCTGCAATCTTTGCATTGTGCTGATCATCCAACAGGATATTGGCAGATTTGACATCTCCGTGTAGGATCGTGCAAGATATTGATGAATGTAAGTAAGCAAGAGCTTCTGCTGATTGTGTAGCAATCTTCAGGCGAAGATCTAAGGGGATTGGTGATCTGTGATCAGCACCATGAAGGAACTCAGATAAAGTTCCATTGGAGACAAACTCATACACCAACATTGGGACATCTACATCCAAGCAACAGCCTAGTAACCTGACTATGTTTCTGTGGTTGATTTGAGATAAAATGATTGTCTCATTGACAAATTCTTCCCTGCAATCATCATTTATTACCTTGGACTTCTTTATGGCAACCTCTTTGTGGTCATCCAAAGTTCCCCTATAGACCATTCCATGACCTCCACATCCAAGTACTCGATCTTCATTATAATTGTCTGTGGCTCTCTTTATCTCCTTCTCTGTAAGAATATGAATCGTGTGAACCTTCCTTGCCGTCATTTCATCATATAACTTGAGACCTCCATTTTGTCTGAAATATTCTTCTTTCTCCATCTTGTGCCTTTTCCTTTGTAATTGCATGGTGTACAAGCATGCCAAGGCCATCAACACTACTGCAGAAAGACTGAGGCCTGCAAAAATATTTTTTAAAAAGAAGGAAAACAGATTCTAGTAAACATCTATTGCCAATTTAGTATGCAGTCTTCTTTTTCTTTTTCTTTTTTGCTTAGGCTGTATCTTAAGCTTGACTTCTTCCCAGGTGCATGGAACAGAAATTGAAAGGAATTCTGTAAAGGTTTCTTTTTTCGTTGTTATAGAAAATAGAAATTCTTAATAAGAACCTTACAACACCACATACACCTTCAAGTCTCCAACACACTTTGGTTCCTAAAACATGTGTGCCACAAAAACACATATACTGACCACACCCTTTAAAACCGACCAATTAACGTTCAGGAGGTGCTGGGGTGAGGAGGTGAGTAATACATCGCGCCCCTTTTTTCTTCCTAATATAGTGATAGGCAGCTCTCATGCGTGTTCAAGAAAAAAAAAATGTTAATAAAAGACTTGATCAATGGGAGAGACATCCCCTGGACTTTAGTCTTAAGAAGGGGCTCACCAAACCTGGGAAACATGCAGGAACCTCACGCGCGCACGCTTCTTTCGTGGCCGCGGAACCATCTGCGCTGTTTCAACCAGGGAGGTGGGCACACAACCATGCAGGCACCAGGGATCGAACACTGGTGGGGAGCTCCGCACCTCGGGTGCTAAACCCTGAAAATTCTTAATTAAGCTGTAAAACATTTGTTATGGGTTAATACTTACTCTCTGTGTTTCACAGTATTTTTCATTATAGGATTCAATAATTTTTTTTCTCAAACTATTTGTCACTTTCACTGTATTTTTCGTTATAGGATTCAATATTTTTCTCAAATTATTTGTCATTTTCACATTCCAAAGCATCATTAACCCCCTACCCTTCATGGCTTCATCAATGTATCCACAAAATCGAATTACCCCCTCTCCCCACCAAGGATTGTGATATACTTAATGTGGGTATAGTTTCTATCTTTAATGCTCCTTATTTTTTGTGACATTTGTTAGAATGACAAATATTGTGAAATGGAAGGAGTTTTAATTTCATACCTATGAGTGTTTATTTGTCACTAAACACCTTAATGTTGATTAAACAGAAGTGTAATATAGGCACATGGTAATTACCAATAACTAGTTTGGTTGAAGCATAAAGGGGCCGGCATCCAAAATTTGTGCCATCATCTCTTGTTCCCATTTTGCATTTGCAAAAGTAACTTCCCTGTATATTGTGACAGACCCCTTTTCTGCAGGGATACAATTCCTCATACTTGGAATCTTGTGTACACAGCATGCACTCATCTATATCTGAAGATGTAAATAAAAACATAAACAATTGGATAAGTTAAACTAACACATGGATGGAGGGTAAGAATCTCAAGAAGTGATAAAGTCAGCAGACTTTATAATGCTGGAAATTTCCTTTCCATAACTGCTCCCATAATTAAACATTAAAACATGAGTGAGCAACCTACGCTAGAGCTGACTGTTTCTTTTACCAGTTCAGAAATAAAAACCAAAATGAAATTGATGACACGTGTCATGCATGCCAACAACATTTTGTGTTCTTTTAGCAATAACAGTAGCTGAAACATGGTGAAAATTTATTATTGTACTCATTTATGATGCTCATAAGATTTTAGTGCAAGTGTATTAAGACATTGCAACCTCAATGGCAGTAAACGAGTAGCATTGAGAAGTCGATCAGGTTTCTAGAGTATTATCCTAGAAACTACAGACCAAGATTACTTTTGAATAAAAACATACCTTGGCAGCCAGTCAGAATGTAAGGATTGCCCTCATATCCTTTGGAGCATTGACATAGATGGCCTGGGCCATTATTTGCATTCATGCAGTAGCTGTTTGCACTGATGCAGGCGTAACCACTAGGTGGCTCTTTTTCCCTCCTCTGGGCACGAGCTGTTCCTGATGGCCCAGTCAGCGATGACCGGGCGCCCTCTTGGCTCTAAGCGTCGATGAATCCAAGATGGCCAATGAGGTCTTGCTGCCTGAAACTGTACCACCCAGTCTCAGCAATCATGGCGTAGAAGCATGGGTTGAAGCTCCAAACCTTGCTTTGGTTCATCCCGAATGCCACCTCAAAGGAATTGAGATTCGCAGGGATGGTAGCCTCACAGCAGCCCATCCAGCGCAAGAGGGGGGCACCGGCCGGACGTGCTGTTGATGCCCTCACAGTAGGAGTAGCACCCAGCAAGGTACTGGCTCTTGGCGTCTTTGTTCCCACCGATGAGCCCAAGGGTGTTGCAGCCAATGACCATGAAGTGGTTGTTGCGATGGGGATGGGAGGAAGGCGTGCTATGCACATCATACCCACCGCCCAGCTGGGTAGATGTGGTGTTTGACGTGAAGCAGATGTGGTTGATGGGGCCGAGCACACGCATCTCTCCACGCCCAGTAAGATATCAGTGACCTCGACCACTGCGCTATGGTCCCCGACTGTTGGCCGTGGTGGATTGAAGGTGTCATTGCAGGTGACGATAAAGTAGCTGTTTAAGCTGGTCATGCACATTGCTCGCCAATGCCAAAGGGGTAGGGGATGGAAATGTCACCGCACTTGTCAGGACAACCTGGTAATGACACAGAGGGTCTAGAAGAGGCTCCATCCGCATGACCATTGCTGGAAAGAAGATGCATAGCATGAGGAGTACAGGGACCATCGTTTCTCGCATAGCGAGATCACTTGCTTCGCATAATCTATTTTAGCTAGAGGCACCTAGTGTAATGCCATCTGCTCTTGTGTTACATATATATGTATACAAACAGCATACTGGTCTGGCTTAAAACAATAGGAAGTGGATTTGTCTTGGACTTTCTATCACAAATAAGTTAATGCAAATTGTGATATATAAGATTGCCTGGATAAGGCTGTGTACGAGATAGTCTTGGTAAAGCGTAAGCTAATGACTATAGGCGTTATTATCTCAGAGTAAGTTAACATGTACAAAGACTTTTACAGAAAGAAAAGCGTAAAATATAGCTGCAATCAGAATTTTTATGGAGCCTACATAGCGTGTTGTGGAACAGCTTAATAAATGTGCTATTTACATAAAACCATGTATCATACACAAGTTCCCAGTGTAGAAGTATTTTCTTCTAACAAAACGAAATGTAGAAGTATCATGTTGCAAGATCTATGCCAAGATCAGTGTAGACATCTCCATGCTGCTGTGTGTCATCCTCCATGGCTGTGTGCATAATAACAGTCTTCATCTTCAATCATAGGCGCTCCGCAACTTCCTTCGTTGTTGGCCTGTCATCTCCACTTGGGCATAGGCAGTGGACTACTGGATGGGCCAGTTTCTCAAGCACTTCCATAGCCGCCTCATCTATAATTTCAAAATCAAGCATAACTTGGTGCTTATTGTGGCGGAACATCAAGAGGAAAATATAAGATAATGACTTTTTTCCATTGAACTCATCAGCAAAAATAGCCCTTTTTCTTGTGATCCGCTCCAGAAGAACTACTCCAAAACTGTAGACATCACTTTTCTCAGTCAGTTGATGACTGAAAGCTCTCAGGGTTAAGATAGCCAGTGTTCCTTGTACAAGCATGAACTCACTTTCTACCATGGACTTCTGTGCAGATGCTTCAAAATCTGCGATCTTTGCATTGTGCTGATCATCCAACAGGATATTGGCAGATTTGACATCTCCATGTAGGATTGTGCAAGATATTGATGAATGTAAGTAAACAAGAGCTTCTGCTGATTGTGTAGCGATTTTCAGGCAAAGATCCAAGGGAATTGGTGGTCTATTATCAGCATCATGAAGGAACTCAGATAAAGTTCCATTGGAGACAAACTCGTACACCAACATTGGGACATCTGCATCCAAGCAACATCCTAGTAACCTCACTATGTTCCGGTGGTTGATTTGAGATAAAATTATTATCTCATTGACAAATTCTTCCCTGCAATCATCATTTATTGCCTTGGACTTCTTTATGGCAACCTCTTTGTGGTCATCCAAACTTCCCTTGTAAGAAGTGGACTTCAGGATTTGTCTTGGACTTTCTGTTTGCAGCTAAGTTCATGAAAATTGTAGTATAATATTGTCTCAATAGGGCTGTGTACAGGTAGTCTTCATAGCACATAAACTAATGATCATAGGCATCCTATCAGAATATGTTAACACGTACGGAGACTTTTACAGGAAGAAAGAGTAAAAGATAGTTACAGTCCGAATTTTGTTTGGAGCCCACTAGCTAGCAGAAACCGGTGAAACGGGAGTAGGTTGTCAACCGCGCGAGCAAAATGGACATCTCTTGGTTTGGTTTGGTCAATGGGCAAACTCTGTCCTGTGATGTAAACGCGGAGCTGTTTCTGAATGTTTTACTTATCTTGTTTCAGGAGACCTGGTATATATCACGAGGTCAGAGGAGGAAATATCTTCAATTGCCTACGCAATCATTGCCGACGTGTCTGACGGATGGAAACTACTGGTTGTGTCGTCTTCTGGCTGTAACCACTGCAGGAGATGTCCATATTAGTCAAAGGAGTAGTACGCTTTGCAGCAGGAAAGACCAGTTCTGTCTAGAGCTGGGCTTCATCAGACTACTCAGCAAGGTTCTGCAGATTTGATCTTCTTTGCTTGAGGAGTGTGCACATGTTGATATTCTGTCATGACTTTTGTTGACGTATTCGGCAGGTCATTCCTTGCACCTCAGGTTTCAGGATCTGTGTGTTGGAAACAAAAACAGCCATGGTCTCAAACAATGAACGCTTGGCTTCCATCTTGGGCTGGCCTGTAGGTCTGTTCATGCGGAGTATGTTTCTCTTGTAGAAAATCCATTTTGATAGCTACAATCAGAATTTTGTATGAAGCCCACTTGAAAACAAAAAATGGTGAAATGGGTGTAGAAGTAGTCAACCATGAATGCTTACGTCAACCGCGCGAAAAGATGGACATCTCTTGGTTTGGTTTGGTCAGTGGACAAACTCTGTCCTGTGCTGTAAGTGCAGAGCTGTTTCTGAATGTTTTACTTATCTTGTTTCAGGAAACCAAGTTTCATGAGGACAGAGGAAGAGATATCACCACTGGCCCACACTATCAGCACCGATATGTCGTCCTTTGCAGCAGCCAAGATCAGTTCTTGCATCTGTGTAGAGCTGGGCTTTGTCAGAGACTGCTCAGCCATGTTCTGCAGGTTTTATCTTTGCTTAACTTTTTAGAGGAAAGTGCGCATGTTGAGATTGCGCCATGCCTTTTCTCTAAGTATTCTGCAGAGTCGTTTCTTGCACCTCAGTATCTTGGAAACAAAAACTGGATATGGTCTCAACAACAGCCGCTTGGCTTCCATCTTGGTCTGGCCTGTAGGTCTGTTCATCTGTTCATGTATGTTTCTCTTGTAGAAAATCCATTTGTGACCACATTCTGACAGTTACAGTCAGAATTTTGTATGAAGCCCACTGTATGAAGCCCACTAGCTAGCAGAACCCGGTGAAATGGGAGTAGAAGTAGTCAGCCATGAATGCCTATGTCAACCGCACGAAAGAGAAAGAATGGACGACATCTCTTGGTTCGGTTTGGTCAACGGGCAAACTCTGTCCTGCGCTATAAATGCAGAGTTGTTTCTGGAGGTACGTATTTACTTATCTTGCTTGAGGAAACCAAGTACCACAAGCCAGAGGAAGATCGAACAATAACCGCCTATACTGTCGTCCCCGCGTGATGTATACGAGGCCGGAAACTGCTGGCTTGTGTTGTCTTGTGGCTTTAACGAATGCAGGGAGAAGTGCTTGCTCGTCAGGCCACTCGGCCAACCTTGTTCTGCAGATTTGATCTTTCTCTGCTTGATTAAAATCTGTAGTTGAAGAGGAGAGTGGAGCATGTTGAGATTGTGCGGTGCCTTTCCTTGAAGCATTCTGCAGGCCCGTTTCTTGCAATCATATCTTACACACGAGTGTTCAGTGCGCTCGGATGGAAACCAAAAGCTGAGGCAAGACGTGTGCCTGCAAGGGGTGTGACATGATATTTGGGCTGGGCTGGTGTGTGTGTGTGTGTGTGACATGTTCCGGCCCAAAGACATGCATGCTAGTAGATGCTAGTCCTCCACCTCCACCTGGGGAATGGCAGCCTTTCTCGCCTCTCTTGCTCTCTGTGCTTGGTGCTCGCTGCTCGATCACACACGGACGGACACTGTCACTCCGGCCCGGTGACCACCACGGCTCCACTCACTCCGGCACTGGACTGCACTGTATCCCTAGGCCCAGGGGGGCCCGCGGACGATGCTACCTAGCTCTAGGCTCTAGCTGCTGCAGCAGCCATGCACGCACTAGCCTTTTGCAGTCTGCTGCAGCCATGCACTGCATGGTGATGGATGGATCACCGGCACCGCGAGCTTTTCGCATGCAGCTGGTCCTGCACGGCTGCACCTCGCCTCGCGCTGTGCCCATGCGTGACATCAGGAACGGCTGCAATCTAGCGCTTGTCTTTATCTGCAGACTGCACGGCACAGTAGAGCACGTAGGAAGGACCGAAGGTCGAAGGCCGCAAAAGTGGCCGCTGCTGCATCTCGTGGTCGTCGTGCATGGGCATGGCGGTCGAGGAACTATGCTCGTGGATCGATTCCATCGTAGAGTACTGCACTGTACAAATGGCCGGCCGGCCAGGACCAGTGTCAATCGAGTGCAAGCTCAGATCAACTCAGTGGTAGCACTGTAGCAGCCCATGCAATACAATGCAGGCCTTTGCGCTGCACGGTGATGGATCCCCGGCACCGCGAGCTTTTCGCAGTTGGTCCCTGCGTGACCTCCAGTGAACAGAACTTTCGGTATGCTTGAGTCCCGGTTACTTTTGGGCCCCAAACTAAAGAAATGATTAGTTTTGGTTGGAGCTACTAATCGGGACTAAAGTCTCCTACCCAACGGTTAGAGACGTAGCTTTTGCAGGTTAGAGACGTAGCTTTTGCAGGAGAGGAGCAGGAGGGGACCTTTAGTCCTGATTAGTGGCTTAAACCGGGACTAAAGGTCACCCTCAGTTTCGATTAAAGCTACTAGCCGTGACTAAACCTTTAATTTCGGTTGATGGCTCTAACCGGGACTAGAATTCTACCTATAGTCCGGGTTTATATCACAAACGGGGACTACATGTCCCGGGCTATATACTTTCTCCTTCTTCCTCCTCCAGCCCTGAAAGGCCCTAGGATGCCGCCTAGAGGGGGGTTGAATAGGCGTTTCTAAAAATTAACACATTTCAATGCGGAAACAATTAGAAAAGGGGGTTTCCAAAATAGAAACTCCAAATCAAGAGTAATACCACCCCTCACAAGTTAGCCACAGAGTAAACAAGGGATAAAGAATATATCTAGAAGTTACAACCCTGCAACACAAAGTTAGAACAGAGAATAAATATTTTCAGCACAGGTAGGAAATACCGGACA